GCCACCACTCACTTTCTGTGCTGATGGGGTGGGGTGAGGAGCTACTGGAGACAACCCAGGCTCTTGTGTGGAGCTGCAGCAAGGTGGAACAGTGCCACGGGCTCCACCAGCTCTCTGACAGGCACAGTGAGGTGCTGTATGGCTTGGAGGTCCCCAGACATAGTTAGGTGCCATATGGCCAGGACATCTCAGGACTGTGAGGCTTGTGGGCAGGTATGGGCTCTAGACAGCAATCCCACCTTCCCATGGGGCCTACCTATGAAATGGGAGTAGACCTCTCCCAGAGGTTTCTTCCTATGCTGGGGACATATGAGATGTATGCCACCCCAGCACGCCACCTTTCACCACTCACAATAAATGACCCAACTCTCTTTGAGGCAGCAGTGGTGCTGCAAATTTTAAATTAAAAAAATGCCCCTGCATGCTTCCCAGTCCCAAAGTGCTGATGTCTGAGTATGCTGGGTGGCATCCCAGGAAGGATGAGAGCTCTGGACACGGACTTCAGGTAGCCATTGGCACCAAGGTATGTGGTTACAGGCACCTGACAGGAGATCAGGAAATGCCTGTTCAGGTCTGCCTCTGCTGCTTCAGTGTTGACTAGGCACATTAAAAGTTTCACTGTGGTAAGGAATGTCCTCTCTTCTCGCCATTTTGGTAAACTTGTGCAGCCTCTCTGGGTTTATATGATGCATGTCTGAAAAGGAAACAGGAAGGAGCTGCAAATGGAAATTTCAAGCTGTCAGCAACAGAGCAAACCCCAACCAATGTCCCATAACATGGGTGGAAAACCCAGGCTGTGCACTTCAGCTTCAAGTGACAGAAGACACTGAATTTTACATAGTCTTCTGAAATCAACAAGTACTGGAATTAGAGTGAAAGAAGTGACTTTGTCTTAACCCCAGGAGAGGGCCTGGGTTTGAGCATTCCCTGATACAGCTCTGCCCTTTGCCTCTGAGCACTCCCTGCGATGCTGTTCCTCAGGCTAGCCACCCTTTTTTGTTTGGGGGTGGCTTTGGAAGAGGAGTTTGCCATATATATATGCTCTGCTGTGCCACTTGCTGATGGGGACAGAACACGCCCTGGTCGGTTTTGTTCATGAGATAAATCACAGTGTCACATTTGTCTCTAGTGTCACAGAGATGTACCAGAGAAAGTTTTAGCCTGTAACTCTATAATGCATGTCCAGCTGCCATGAAAATGCATGTGAATAGTGCAGGGGAAAAGATCTATGATCTGAAAGCCTAATACTTGTATCATCAAATATTTCTGTATGTACACCATCACCCCAATCCAGAACGGTTCTCCATAAGCAGATAGTGGAGTATTGTTATAGAATTTATACTGATCTCTGGTTAATTAGTTTCTTACCCAGGGACTGTTGAGTGTTTGATCTTGTCACAGTGAAAAGCTACTCCCATCAGCTATATAATTTAACAAATCCATAAACCAAACAAGTTGTCATCCTGCAAAACCCTCATACCTATAGGATTCTCATTCTCTACAAGGTGTGGTTTTCAGGTGGACACTGCTGGGTTTTTGGATTACTTTGCTAGGCTGAAGGAGATGTGTATCTGTAGAATGATATAAACCTACCTGAGAATAAAAGAATTAGCACTGAAAGTGTGCAAGTTTTGCAGACTTGCAGTGTCCCACAGAGGTGGTTGTTGTGCTGGTCTGCATTAATACAGGTAAAGGCTTTTTTCTGTGCCTGTGTGAGGAAGAGTGAAAACATGATTGTCCCATAACATTGATGGTTTGTAAATATGATTTTCTAGAGCTGTGTACTCTAACAATAGGCTTGGTGGAATGGACAGAGGATAATTTTCCTTGAAAAGATTGGATAGCTGAATAGGTGTTCTTTTAAACAGGAGGAAAATAAGACCAAGGGCTGCTGATCATCAGAGTGCTTTGCAGTTGGCTAAAAGAGCACAAGCATTTTCATTTTCAGTCCTGGGGAGATGAATGGAGACAGAGGGCAAGTCCAGAATACATGAAGGTAGGATCATCATATGGCCTTGCTGCCAGGCTTGTTTTCTGTGCTAGTGGCCCAGAGAACTGATAAACCTCAACTGGGACAGTCAAGGCTGTAATCCCAATTCATCATTTATAGCCTGCTCGTGTCCAGGCAGACATGTCTACCCCAGCCTTTTCAGATACAGTGAGCTGCTGCATTTCACAATCTTAGGAAGGGCTTCCCAGCTGCACGCTCTGAATGTTTTGAAGTGACACATGGTGCATTATATTAACTTGGTTCAGACAATCAGCTTTAAACATCTGAATCTGATTTCTTGATGCTAATTCCTCTTGCTCAATCTTTATTTCAGCTGTGTGGAATTCTCAGACCTTTCTGACCCTGACTTATCGTTCCCTGATGTTTTATTGCCAAGTCATTGAGGTTTCAGGGAGGCTGATGTTTCTGAAATGTGCACACCTTTGATTCTACGCATGGCTAGCATGTCAGACCAAACTTTTCATATGCTCTGTGTATATCATTGTCTCCACTGCTGTGTCCTCTGCAGTTCCACCATTCAGTGCACTTATCTGCATGCCCCGTTAGTGCAATCCTCCTTAAAATGTGGTTATTATTTAAGGCTTTTCAAAAGCTCAGCCTCTGCACAAAGCAAAACTTGATCTGAGCCTACGTCCACTCTTGTCACTTATGTACAGGTTCCATCTGTTCCCCTTTTCCTCTCCTGTTGCTGCTTGCCACATCCAGACTACATGCTGCTTATACATTGTACAATAGACATTTCTGCACACACAATTTTGAAAATGTGTCTCTTAATGCTTTATTGTTCACATGTGTCTTGTTGTTTCAGGCAAGTTTTATCAGTAGTGATTTTGTTGTTTACTGATACATAGAATAAAATAGGGTACTGTTAAAATGGGACTGGAGGAGAGGAAAAGGACCTTTGATACACCAATTACACAATTTCTGCCAGCTTTCTGATCATTCTCCCCTGCCACCACTTCCCCAAATTTTGTAGTTGCCAAAGGATAAAGTAAGATCCTAACATCACTTACAGCAATGTAAGGGCTGCTCCGCTCTGCATGAGGCTACTCCATGTTGGTAGCGATTCACCAGCACCTCTTATGCTCCTGTGTCTGGTGAGGAGAGGGGTTGGGACCTTTTAGTACCCCTGTCCAGCAAGGCAGCCATAGCTTCTGCTTTAGATCTCCTTTACAGGTCCCCAGCGTCACCTTTGCAAAATGGTTGTATTCTTCCCTTTGGGGGAAAAAAAATTCCCTACAGAAACTAGTTCTGGAGGTGGAATCAGTGCTAGGAAGGTCTAGGAAGACACTTCTCTTGCAGGAGCTGAGCTGAGCTCTAGCACCTAAGCCAGTGCGCAGACTGAAGCAGACTCAGAGGTATGCAATGGCATGGGAATTAACACATGCAGATTCCCTAGGAGCCACCTCAAGTCTTTCCCATCACACCTTGCTCCATACCTGTGGTGAGACTGGAGTATCTGCAAACAGATCCCAATAACGCTCCTGGGTGTCTGCAGCAGGGATGGCACAGAGCCCAATACACTGGATTATTGCCACCCAGGGATTTCCCACACCAGGAAAATCCCTAGTTGCCCAAAACCTCTGGTTTCCCACCTGGAGAAGCCCAAGACCTGCCTACGGTGCTGATAATCTCTGTTACTGGGGAAACATAAAGATGGTGGGAATAGACACAGTTTCTATCAGACTTGCTCTGAGGAAAGCTTTCTGTGCTAAGGACGGTGTCTGCTTCTGACTCAGAGACAGTCCACTGCTCCCTTCCCAAGCAGAGAGGCAAGCAGCCACACAGCTCCACTTACATCCTGCATGTGCAACCAGATGCTGTGTGTTTGGCCCTCGGTCTCCTGGGCGTGGCAGAGGGCATACCCTCAAGTGCTGGAGAGCTGATGGCTCTGGGAGGACTGCTGAAAAGAAGGTGTGAGAACAGGAACATTAAGACCCTTCCCCTTCTGTCCATGGACTGCAGCCATAGCTCATAGGGTGCTTCATGACTCCCACTCCACCCTGTGTCTCCCATTCTACGCAGTCCCCTCTGAAGGTCAGCAAAAGTGGCAAGGTCTCTTCCTCCTGCCAAGAGGTGGGGAAGAGCCAGCTTTTTGCACCAGAATACTCATCATTTTCACATACAATTCGCTGAATATTTTGTGTACCACCCTGTACCAAGGTTGAGGCCATTCACTGGCCAGAGGGGAAGTGTGAAAGATACGAAAGAAGAGAATGGAGCAGAGCTCATGGCAAGCTCTTGTAGATTAGAAAGGAGGCAGGTAGGAACAGAGATTAAGCAAGTGCTGTAAAGAGTTCAGGACAAATAAGGGCTTTAAGTGATATTTGACTATGGGAAAGAAATCAGTATCCGTGGTTTCCATTGGTGTTTGGAGTGCTAAAAGAAGAAGTGATTGCTGAAGTCTGAACAGGAATGTTAGGCTGAGCTCTCAGTTTCCTCCCAAATTGTAGGATTTACTGTCTCTCTTGAAGAGGAGGTCTTATTTTGTAGAATTTCAGGCTTTTTTGAAATAGATTGCTTCGCGAGCAGTGGAACTAATGGCTCTTGGTTTCCTGTGGATCTGCGATCATTGCTTCATAGTCACCTCCCTTCTCTCCTCTCCTAAAATAAAATGACTGCAACAAGCCCGACTCTTGCCTTGCTATATGCTCTAAGACCCTTTACTGGGCTGCGGACAAGTACGTATATGCTGGCTGATCAGCTAATACATACATGGCCAGCCAGATGCACATACTCACTAGCCAGATGACTGCTGGCTGCAGTTCTTTAACTGAGGTCTCTATCCCTCACCCAGCCATCAGTTTGCACAAAATCTAGGAAGGAAATCAATAGCTTTTGAAAATTCTACCTTTCCTATGTGAAATCAGGTAAAAATTATTGATGGAGTTGGATAGATAGATTGAATCTGAGCTAAAAAGGTTTTGTTGTATCGGCTTTGGATGTACATGTAGGTTCTGGAATTAATTTCTCTCTCTCTCTTTTTCAGCTATTTTTAACCTGGATGTGTTCTGCGATTTGTTTCCCACACAGCATTGAAACTGGCACAGCTGAGAGGTGAGTGAGTGGTGGGAGAGGGGAATTAGGGGATGCTTATGTTGGCGCTGCTGCTGAAAGAAGTGCAGCATCAAACTACGGCCTCTCAGATCTGTATAATGTGGAGTTCCCACAGAAAAATTGTCACTAAAAATATATTCACATCTTTAAGTGCTCAGATATATTGGGCAAAAAGAGCTAGAAAAAACAAAGCATGTTGTAAAAACACACAGAAGAAACAGTAGTCAGTTTTAAAATGTAATGTTTTCTTTCATAGTTCAGCATCTCAGTATTGCCCATATTCCTGTGTGAACATCTCTAGACATCTCTCTGTACAGGATCTCATAAGAGAAATCCTGTTTGTAGCAGCTCAGTCTCTGTACAGAGTGCATATCAACTCAGAAACCCCTTATCTTAGTTACTGTACATACGAGCTCCGAAGAACAGAGGTTTTATCTGGAAAATACATAGGAGAAAGCTTCTTGAGCATTAATTTACAAAAAGAGACCTCTAATTGTGAAGCATTTCTTCAGTCAACTACAGATGATTATAATGTGTGAGATCTGCTTTTTCCCCCAGTGTTCTGTTTAACACTGTTTGTTAGACATGAAAGGAAAAGAGGATTAAAAGGGAGAGATGGTATTGAAAACAACCCTTCAGGGGAGGTGGGAAACAACAGTAACTCTCTCAAAAAGAACACAGGAATGCCCTTAGGAAAAGGTTTTCAAAGTGTCCTGCATTTGAAAGTTAATGAGTAAATTAATCTCAAATATTAACGATTGACAGTGCCATCTTTAAGATCTCAAGCATGCACCACAACTAAGAGACAAAGGGAATTTTTAATAGGCAATAAATGGACTAATATTTTTGGATGCAAAGATACAGGCATGTTAGTTGTGATGGGATGTGGGTTTGTTCCGTACTTCCTGGCACTGTGACTTTATTGGGTTTTTTTGCTTTACACTGTCTTTTGATGAGGCACCGCTTTTTCCTTTAAAAAGTCAAAAAATGTGGTTTTAGTAAGTAATCGTCCTTTGAGTTACAGTAAGTCCACTGGGTATAGAGTTTGCTGATGTGGGGATTGTGTAGGCATGTGCCAGACCATCTCACCACTATTCTGTGATGCCTCACTTCACACCTAGCTCAGGTGGCTTGGTCATTTCTGCCCCTGCAGTGCTGCACGACCACCTTGCGTAGGTGCCTCTCATGCAGGTGAGAGGCTGGCAGGCAGGCAGCAACACCCCCTTCCAGCAAAAGGTAGCAGCACAGGCACTCCTAACCCTGCTGCAGGCATGTGTCTGGTGGATCCCAGTCAACGACCCAGACTTGACAGCTTTCTTCGGAGCACTCTCAAACTGTGCTATACTGCTGCACTTAAAATGAACAACCTTGGTTACAATGTTCCTGGATGTCAGGCATTTTGGAGGAAAGCTGGTCTTATCTAAAGCTTTTGTACAGCTCCTGTCACGGCCTCCTGACCCTTGGGGTCCTCTGCACATAGCTGTCATGAGCCTTCAGTAGCTACAGTGGCTTCCACAAGCTTGACTGTGCCTTTGTGGCCATAGAAGGAGCCCTAGCAGGAATTCCCAAAGGCAGGTCTTCCTTTCACTCACCCAGAGCTACCTGCCTAGAATCATTCAAAACCCCACTGATGTCCTCCAAACCCTTTACCCACCCAGGGTTCCCAAAAACCAAACACCTGTTCCCAGCTGACTCCTACTTTTCCTTACACCTAAGAAATGCATGAGCCACTTCACAAAGCTCCTTCCTATCCCCCATTTCTCTACAAACTCCTCTGCCATTAGCACAACACCGAGACAGACCTGCTTACATCAGCATAAGTTGCCAGCCAAAAAAAAAAGAAGAGAAAATCAGCTTCTCAAGTTTAGAGACAGAGACGTGAGGGAGCACATGCCCAGCCTTGAGAGAGTGCATCAGAAGCACTTCTACCCCCTAATCACAGCTGCTTTTTGGCTCACTAATCCTATTCCTAAGGATCAACCATCACCTTCCAGTACTTTCTCAGTGGATAAAAAACAGTTTAACTTTTCTGCTCAGCTGTTACGTAGTACCTCTTCCAGAGGAACTAACATCCCAGTCTGCTCACACATGCCAGACCCTGCTTCTCAGAGCTATGGGTTGTACTGCTCCTTAAAAACCTGCCATCCTTCTCTCAGTGCTCAGCCTCTCTCCATGAGACATCCTGACCTAGTGTACCATCTGCCCTCTCTGCAGGAGAGGTGCCTGTGGCCTGCACAGATCATATGACTCGTGTCCTTGCAAGCTTGAATACTTCAATACTTGGACAGAGGGACAAGCTTGGCTCCTCTGTGTCCTCTGCCTCCCTTCTCAGGGCATTTTTCAATACATTCCATGCCACCCCCCTCTCCTTAGCTTCTGGTTTAGTCTTGCTGGAGCTTATCCATATCTAAATGACAGGCTGCCAAACAGGAACATAACCTTTCACATGCTAGGAGTATGACTGAAGCCAGTTCTCCTGCCCCATCAGTGACAACACCATGTGGGATCAGCTCTGCTGTGACTTCTCTTTACACTTCGGAAGTTACTACTGGCAAAAATGCTAGCTTTGTATTATCCAAAAGCAGGAGATGTTCTTAGCCCATTTTTCATACACCTGTACACACTACCTGCATACATATGCAGACATATAGATATTGGCTCTACTGAATCCCCTTCTGTTTCTGGCATCATTCTGAGCAACTGAAGCATGAAAATACAGAAGCAAGAGAATGCTGAGCTGCCCTATGTGTTTATGAGAGAGAGAGACTGCTTGCACCAGTGGCTGTGTTCTGGGCAGCCCCAGCCATGGGCACTGGGAGGACACAACTAACTGGCATAAGGCTTTAGCCAAGCTTGTTGTGACCCTCTGGAAAAACTCAAGGTTCAGTTTTCATCTGGCTGATAAAGTTGGTATTGTGAAGAAACCAGAAATACTAGTCCTGCTCAAGAGCTATGCTGTGCCCCAGGCAAGAATAAGAACACAGCCTTCTCCCTCCAAATTACAGTGAAACAATCAGGTATTCTCAGTGCAGCCCCAGGTGGCAAAGCCCTGCCCGCTGGGGGTGCATGCAGTGTGTGGCTCCAAGGGAGATAATGTGAGACTGGGGACAGGTGGAGCAAGGGAACACAAACCTATCCTATAAAGGATTTTCTCATGGTGTAGAACCAAAGAGGACTGTTGGCAACATGCCCTCCTTATGTGAAAGTCAGGTCATCTCATCCTGATGCCTCATTGGATTTGAATCACCAAGAACAGCATCGCGTTCAGCACAAGGTGAAGCACAGAGGAATTCCATGGGCAGGTGTATGCAGAGAAGCAGATGGAAAAGGTGGGTGATCCAATACTGTTATGACAAGCATTGAAGAAAGAGGAGGAGTTTGAAGAGGGCTGGAAAAAACCTCAGAATTCTCCTTACCATGCATGAGATCACGAGCAGAGCAAGGTTAAGTCTGGGACTTTTTAGTGGGAGGAGGAAGCCTCCCAAGCTAAAAACTGTTCCCACTTCCAGTCCTCATCTACTGCCCAAAGACTCATGGCAAGCATCAATATCAAGCATGAAACACCAACCCTAGTAGATATCAATGTAGCCGTCCTTAAATTCTAGAAAATGCCATATTCCATCACAGCCCAGAGGATGTCCAGTTTCACAGCTTGTTTCCTGCTCCTTCTGTGCCCGGACTTATGCTATACATGGATTTATTCTTCAGAAAAAGACACTTGGACTGAACAAAACAGTGCTGTTATCATTCCTGAAAAACCACACTGACATCCCTTCTTCAGTCCCCTCACTGCAAGTTGTGGTGCCAGGCATAGGTCATCTCTCCAAGCGTAGGTGTCAAACTCAGACAAAAATTAAAAAAGCTCAGGGGCTCCAGTAAGTGTACCAACTGAATCTCCACTGACTGTAAAAGGCAAGCTACACTCCAGGACTCCCTAAGACCTCCCAGAAACCCTGTGGATGCACAGCTGGACACCCAAAGCCAGACTTACAATGCGTTACAGAAAAGTAACAGGTTTTGTGTCTCATGTCATGCTATAGCAGGGACTGTTTGGCACGTATTTGAGAGTGAACACATCTAGACCCCTAACTCTATTCCTGTCCAAAACTGGTGTGTATTTTAACTTGGACAGTGCCCAATCTGCAGAGTTAGTGTTTTCCACACAAAAATGCCTGATTGGTAAACTTCCAAGAAGTTCTATTTTTGATTCAATGAAGAATGGCAGCTTTCCATGGAACTTACTTTCCTTCTTTCCTCCTTTCTTTCCCCACAACCCAAAATAAGATTCCTAAAATATCATAATTTTTCATTTGGAAATGCCCCATGGATGTCAGAGTTCAATTGTCCTGTTCTGCAGGAGGTGGGACAGTTTCTTTAGAAGTTAGAAGTCCTTTTGTACCTTGAAAAAACACTGGGGTTGGGGGCAGGGGGGTGTCCCATCTTTACCTTTTCACTGAACTGTTTTTCCCTCATCTTGAAAAGAGTGCAGCAGAGGCTCTGGTGTAGACTTCTTAAGACTCTTATGTTTTTTAACACTATGCTGCTGTTCCTGAGGCTGTATGGTTAGTCATGGCCATGAAAGATGACGGGCAGAATCACAGCTATGGAGAAGCCACTGGGATTCACCCCTCCATGATCAGAATAGAAATCTGCTGATGTATGATTGCCTCCGAGTGGGAGATACACACAGACCTTAGAGAAAACCTCTTGTTCTCCTGCATCCAGGTTTACTCATTTCTGCATACGAGTTGTCCAACAGCCTGTGGGCCATGTCCTAAATAGCTGAAATGTGCAGGAGTATACCATCTCCTTATCAGCTCCCACACTGTGATACATTTCTGTACTTGTTTTGTCCCATTCTATGTCTCCAGAGTTCTCAGCAAGCAAGAACTGAGTTCCTTCCAAATCGTAATAATCCTCACTTGTTCACTCCCTCACAACCAGAAATCACTTTGGCCAACAGCCAGGACGGCAATAAGGGCCAGGCACATACCCGGGCA